ACCCCGATCTTGGAGAATCATGGTTGTGAAGGGGCAAACGATTTATCAGCGCAATTAGTTACAGTTACTGCAGCTGACACCCATCCCGCCCTCATCGGGTCCCGTCACTTTCCTCGTTGTCCAAAGGACAACACATCCAGAAAAAAAGTCTCCCTTGAGCAGACGAAGGAACCAGAGAACCTGCAGTCTATAGTCTCCGTCTGCGACTCCGTCTCCATTCGGGTTGTTGTTTTCAATCCGAGTCTCGTTTTCTCATTTCTAGCTTACTATCCCCTCGTCTGGCCGCGAGGCAACAATTAGGGGCTGTTCGGTGACCCCGTCCAGGGCCGTATAAGTCCGTACAGTGCCAGCTATACGGACTTATACAGCCCTGTACGCGCTAATCTGGCTGAAAAAGGCCTGCTGTTCGGTAGATTTTGCGTATAACCCTGTATAACTTACCAAGAGTGCCAAGCTGGCTTCAAAATCCACTTTATAGAGTTCAACGGTGTAATTAGTTGAAAAAGTGGTGAATTTAAACCTAATCAAGTTAAATCTGTACTGTATACACTGGAACAAGTCGTGATTTGTACTGACTTGATCCAGCGCTGGCCGGCTTGGAACCTGCAAATATCATCAAAAATCAAGAATCATGGCGAGCAACAGTGACAATGCAACTCAGGAGGCAATACGACAGTATCTATGTTGTAGACAACAATTAATCAGGCTTGCTGCTGCAGAAGTGATTCATTGAAGCATCTCAACTGTCTCATCTGACATACAATTCATGTATTCTGATTCATTTCATGGATTTCAATTTACCACTCAGTTGTTGAATTCTACCTCCCACCCACTGTGTATTAAAGAATATGACACAGATGAGTGCCAGTACATTCATTGCACTGATTGATTGACTGTGAAGTAATATCAATATTTGTGAATCTGAAGCAATACATGCTATAAAGATTGAGCAGAAGGTTCTCATATTCTTGTATATTACAACACAGAGAGTGAGCTCCATTTTTCACTGATATTTGATGTGAAAAGGTAGTAATATAACAGGATTTTCAACTGCAATGCATCCACTGAAATCGCATGATAATCATCATGATAAAAACCGCTCATAAGTAATAAAAGTAATGTCAAAACACCAAGCAGATTAATATTCATATAAAAAAAAGCAGTAATAATGAAGGTTTACACTGTCAAAAGGCAAATATCCACTTTTTGTACGGCCCTGGCACTGTACGGACAAAATCACCGAACAGGCCCATAGCGCAATACCATTAGAGCCTGTTCGATGACTCCGTCCAGGGCTGTATAAGTCTGTACAGTGCTAGCTATACGGACTTATACAGCTCTGTACATATTAATCTGGCTGAAAAAGGCCTGCTGTTCGGTAGATTTTGTGTATAACTCTGTATAACTCATCAAGAGTGTCAAGCTGGTTACAAAATCCACTTTATAAAGTTCAACGGTGTAATTAGTTGAAAAAGTGATGAATTTAAATCTAATCAAGTTAAATCTGGATTGTATACACTGGAACAAGTCATGATTTATGTTGATTCAATCCAGCACTGACCGGCTTGGAACCTGCAAATATCATCAAAAATCAAGAATCATGGTGAGCGACAGTGACAATGCAACTCAGAAGGCAATACAATAATATCTATATTATAAACAATAATTAATCAGATTTGCTGCTGTAGAAGTGATTCATCAAAACATTTCAATTATCTCATCTGATATACAATCTATGTATTCTGATTCATTTCATAGATTTCAATTTACCACTCAGTTGTTGGATTCTACCTCCCACCTACTGTGTATTAAGAATATGACACAGATGAGTGTCAGTATGTTCATTGCACTGGTTGATTGATTGAGAAGTAATACTGATATTCATGAATTCAAAGCAATACATATCATAAAAATTGAGTAGAAGGTTCTCATATTCTTATATATTATAACACAAAAAATGAGCTTCATTTTTCATTGATATTTAATGTGAGAAAGTAGTAATATAACAGGATTTTCAACTGCAACACATCCACTGAAATTGCACAATAATCATCATGATAAAAACCATTCATAAGTAATAAAAGTAATGCCAGAATGCCAAGCAGATTAATATTCATATAAAGAAAGACAGCAATAATAAAAGTTTACATTGTCAAAAAGCAGATATCCACTTTTTATACAGCTTTGGCACTGTATGAACAAAATCATTGAATAGACTCTTAGTGTAATAACTAAGCTGTTAATTTAAAAATATCAATCAATAATTTCTTATATTAAAATCTATATAATCTGATTTGTTGATATTGTTTTATTATTTCATATTTTCTGATTTATATATTCTGCAATTTTGAAACTTTTTTTTAAATTCATATTTATATTCACCCTGCTCATTCTGCTGACTCTAAAATAGAAATATGATTTTTACAGATGATTTCCAATTCTTCAATACTTCTTTCAATCAAATTAACTGATTTCTTTATTAGATAGTATAAAAATAAATGCAAAGTAAAAGTGATTCATCATTTCACTTCTTCTAGACATTCCATTTTCAGAGAGTATTAGATTCAAATTCATGAAATTTCTTCATCACTCTTCAACTGCCAATCTGTTTAATATTGATTTATGGAATTTATACACTCTATTCTGTCTCTATATTTCAGAGTTAGATATTCAAAATATTATCCGTTTCATCAATGTTTATATAAAAATTCAGATAGTAAAAAATTCAGTTATTAATTTTCAAAATTAACAATCAACTATTTCTGCAGAAATCAAGGTATTTCTTGAGCAGATTATTTATATGAGAGTACATATATCTTCAGCAATTGAAGATTATTGAAATAAAAACGATGCTCAGAAGCCACTTCATTCATCAAAATTTTATATGAAATAAAAGCAATTTGAGCAGCTCAAGAAATATATTCATATATTCAATTTTCACAGATCAGAATCCTCCTTCATACAGAAGTTAGAGTTTTTATACTTCAACTTTCATACAGCATATCAGAAATATTACAATTCAAATTCAAATCTTTTTATTGATGAGATGATGATTCAGTTTTTTGAATGATTTAAATACATAATTAAAATGCTTCAGAAATCAATCAAGTAGAGATATAAGATCTTTAAATTAAAAAAATAAAGTTATCTTTAAATCTTTTTCATATTTTATGATAATCTCTGCATAAGCACAATGTTTTAAACTTTAGAATTAATTAAAATTGAATCTTTTGTGATGGAATTGATTGAACAACTACTTGTATTCTTGTAGAGCTTCAAACAATAAAGCGTTGAACAGCAGAGTTTTGAGCAGCAGAGCTTCAAACAGCATTCTGAATAGCATTCTGAGCAGTATTTCAAACAGCAGCATTTCAAATAGCATCTCAAGCAACAGAGCTCTGAGCAGTATATAAAGTTGAATAATAATAAAGAGATAGCTAGCTATTAAATTTATATGAACAACTACTTCACCTCTGTTGCTCTATTTCATTATCTTTAAAATCAAAAAATTGAAATTTGTGAAATCATTCATTCTGCCAATCTATCTCCTCTTCTGCAAAAACTGAAGAACTCTGAATTATTCTCATTTATTTTCTTCAATACTCTGTATATAATACATCAAAATGAGATTTTTTATCTTGAATGAAAAGACAATAATATAATATTACTACTGTCTACAATTCATCTGCCAGACAGCTTTATTGAATGTGTTAGAAAGCACTCAAAATTGAACTTTACTAATGAATTTCAATTTCAGAGAATATTTGAAGACAATTGACAAAAAGCAGTGGAGATTTTTATCATTATTGATGATTACAATCATAATATGAATGGGATTGACTTTGCAAATCAGTATAAAGCTTTCTATGAGACTCATATACTTACTAATCATAGTTGATTGGTAATTCTACACTGGATTATTGACCATGCTATTATCAATGCTTTTATTCTTCATCAATTGGCTACTACTGACTCTGGCACTGACTCTGGCACTATTACTCTATCTCATATGCAGTTCCATCAACAGCTCTATCTTCAACTCTTTGAATTTTCAAATTCTCTACTCTCTACTATAATTGCAACTAGACTGTCTTTTCTATCTACTACTACTGATTTATTATATGATGATCAGATGGGAAGTAGAAAGCAAAACTCAGCAATTGATGCAGTTCTCTCTGTAGTTCATGATATTCAACTTGCAAAGAATGAGAAAATGGTTACAACTGCAATGTTTATTGATATAAAAGATGCATTTGATTGTGTTTCACTTTCTCAAATGATCAAAACTTTGATAGAACTGAGAATGCCAAAGTTTCTTATTAAGTGGGTTATCTGTTTCATGTCAAAAAGAACTATTCAGTTGCTTTTTGATGAAATGAGACAAGATATAACAGATATTGAGATAGGAGTTCCTCAGGGTTCCTCAGTCTCACCTATTTTATTTGCTATATTTATCAAGTTTCTGTTTATTGATAAACAAATGGCAATTATGGTGAGAATTCCAAGTTATGTGGATGATTTGAGTTTAATTGTAAGCTCAAAATCAATTGTAAATAATTGTAATTTGATTGAGCAAGCAGCAACTTGCACCTCTATATTGGTGTCTAGAATCAGTAATCTGATGGTGAAGTCAAGCAAGTTCTATATAGAGTTTTATATCATGTGACTTAGTGTCTCAGAAAGTGGTGTGTCTTGGTGAAATACGTTAATTAAAGCTAGATCAAATAGATTACATAAATTACATAAAAACATGCTAATACAGCTGATCTCTCATATAATCCAGTAGTTTTCGCGTATTTAATACACTAATGTACACGCTAAAAAATACGCTAATTGTTGTCTCGCGGCCAGACGAGGGGATAGGAGGGAGCCTTCTCAGTCTTCCCGATGTGCCATCAGAATTGGAGAACTTCGCCGAGGATGGGTCAGCGAACTTACCTCTTGCTATTATCTTATATTTTTTATTTTTTATTTTTTATTTTTCCGATTCTTCGCACATCTTAATAACCGGGCCATTTCGTATACACCCAGCAAGAGTGGGGCTCAAATACTCCACCACAAAACATATCAAGCGGCGAATGGTGCTGAGAATGCCAGCGGTTAGCTGAGCCTTCCCTCTTTTTCTCCCGGTATGTATGTATATCGGGGCCAGGACGGTCATAGTGGATGGGGAACATTAACTTACAAAAGACTTCGCCACGCAATCCGGAGCATGTTGGCAATCCTCGTTTTTGTAACACTGGAGAGGAACATCGTTGCGTGAGTTTTAGGTACCGGGGGGGGGGGGGGGGGGGTGTCTTTTGAGAGAATGGGAGGATTGGGGACGAAAGGCATACCGTAAGTTCAGGGGCACATTTAACCCAAAGCCCGGGAGGGTGTGCAAGGATGGCGATGGGAGCAGCCAGGAGGATGGAAAGGAGGGCAAAAAAGACCTTCATGTCGGCGGTTGGAGGAAGGAGTTTCTACAAGCGCAAGTAGATGCAATACTGCTTCTTATTAGCAAAAAAAAAAAAAAAAAGATGCGGGTGTCTTTTTTTTTGTTATCTTGTTTTGCTCTTGGGCCACCCTTTTGTCCCCGGAGGATTCTTTGGGCCTTTTAAACCCATATGTGGGGCTGTGGGCTGTGGGTATTTAGCCTATATCCGTTCTTTGGTCCACTGGCCATCTCTTAACCCGTGTAGCCAGCTGTTTTGCCATGAAGAGAACAGAGAAGGTTATATTGCCCATCCTAAAAATGGGTCTATCAACCAACCCCCAGACTATGACCAGAAGTACAAGATGGAGAACCAAATCTCCTAACCAAACGTGGTTTAGAGTTTAGACGCACAACCTTGCATCTCATGTAGATGTACTCCGTAGACATATGAAGAATAGTGGCTAGTTGGTAGGCCCAGCCCGGGTGATGGGCGATGCTGAAAAGTTATCGAATGAGTTCAACATTAGTTCTTCTTTGAAAGAAGACCTTATTATTCTCCAAAGATATTATTTTAGATTCTGCAGTCAATATTCTGAAGAATACGGATTCATAAATATTTTTGGAAAATTGGATTTCTCTACTTGAATTAGGGTTTTTGACTGCTGTCTGAAATAGATAAAGTATCAAGAATATTTGATTTTTAAAATATTGCCGTTTGTTGTAATTGGTATTGCGAGTGAGATGTGCAAACGTGCTTTTACTCTACTAGTATATCTTGATTCCTCCCCCAGACCCTCATGATATAGTAGGCAGTGGAGCACACACAGAAGCACCGCCAGAAGCAAACGGAGTGGAGGTTGTGCATATGGGGGGAAATATACAATTCAATAACAGTTCAGTATACGTCTTTACGCTGCGCGTACCTTTAAACTTCCATCTGATCTAAAGTTTATCGGTTCCGAGGATGAAGGAAACGCGGATTCCGGCATCGCCACAAATTGAACCTCTCATTGCACCATGCACCATGCACCATGCACCATGCACCATGATGCCCAATTGGGGTGAGGCTGCTTATCCTAATAATCATTCATACTCCAAATCATGGTCGTACCCTGGACGAAAACATCATGCCTCCAATCCTCCGCGCAGGGACCAAGTATTTTGGCCATTAAAGTGATAGCACGACCATCTGCCATGGTAGTAACAGGTTAAATCCAAGAAGGGGCCTGCCCTTGAGCCGAGTCGTCAAACTTCGGCGGTAGGCCGGAGTCATCTGGATAGAACGTGTCTGTGTGGGTCTGTGGTATGGAGGTGGGGAGGAATCTAATATCTGAAAGGCAAAACATTAGCATGCTGTACAAGAGCGATCCAACTCAGAGTCTTGTTATTTGTCAGTAACTGCCTAGCATATCTAGCAGCAGGCATTTGGGCAAGTCATTGATATTTGCCTCTGCTATCAGGCTGTCAAAGCAGGAGCCCTTGTCAGGGGAGAGCTATGTGCCCAGTAGACCCGCACAGTCTGAAGCACCTCCTTCAGTATCTGAATCTCAAGTTCTCTCGACTTGCCTAAAGCCATGGGCAACCTCTGTCTTGTTCCTAATCTCATGCACGCATAGGCGAGCCCAACAGGTGACAAACAGCCACCACGAACTAAGTTTAACCATCCTCAAATGGAAACTCATATTTGTCCCAGGCCTCTCTGCTGGAGGTCCTACCTGATCTCCTAGCCTCGGTTTTGTAACTTCCGCATCGAGCGATCTCGCACCCATCATCATTTTATCCATGGTCCAACACCACAATCGCTAGCTACACCTCCCTGCTCGAGATGCGTAGTTAATAGCAAAACGCCCGTCAATGCCATTTGCGAGCGTAGTGCCCAGCGCAGCCGCAGCATCAGCCCACTTCAACCGAAGATGATGATGGTTGGATTGTATTGGGAGACTTTGTAGGCACAAAAACGAAATCGAGGAGATTGCTGAGCCCTTTTAAAGTGTGTACGGTGAAAAGGGAAGCCCCGCGAGAGTTGCATGCTGGTCAAATACATTGGAGAAGTGCTTGATAGGAGGATTTCAGAATTGGAGACTCTGCTTGGGGGGGGGGGGGGGAGGACATTCCACTCTCCACCATGATCCCCAGCCGTCTGCACGAACGGCCGGACAGACAATTCTCGTGATATGCTGGTATAGAAAACTGTTGGACGTCTCAGTGGTTGTAAAGGATTAAGAATAGAATGATTCCATGTTGTTGCTATATCTTGATTCCTAATTATCCCCCCTTTAGGAAAAGAGAAAAAGAGAAGAGAGGAAAACGACAAGATTTCTTTTTTTTTTTTTTTTTAGGAAAACAAGAAATAGACAAATAAACGAGTAAGAACATAGGAGCTTGTAAGAAGGTGGAAAGGACTGATACAAAGGATGAAGGAATAAGGAATCAGGGAGTTAAGCAATTTTGGCTCGGCTTCTTATCAAAGCAAGAACTTGGTAAGTTCTATTATCAGGAACAACGTACATAAATAACTAGAACTTGGAACGTCTCACTATATGAAACCAAGCAATGTCCCACTGAATCTCAGTGATATCTCATGCATATAATTAAGCACAGATTTCCCTATAAATACAATCACCCAATCCAACCCCCCCAACACATCCTTCTCGGACCCACTCTACCATCCAGCCAGCTGGGGGAACCTGGCTCTTCCTAAGTTCCACTACCCTACTGCCATTGGTCCTTGGTGGCCTGGGGTCTTCCTGGGTGCCTAACCACCAATCTCCTCCACCTTGGTAAGAGAATGTGCATTAGTAAGGGATATTCTTCTGGCCTTGGTCTGATTTGAACCTGTGATAGCATGTTGGCACACCCTGTAGGTGGTATAGAGGGTACGAATCACCCAATCCAATCCCCCCAACAAAAACAGAGCCACAGCACCGACAAGATTAGTCAGGTGTTGTTCCATTCCTGCAACTTGAACAGCAACGCCGATGATCCTCCTGCATTTATCAAGCCTGGGTACACCCAATACCGAGTCTCTCAAAACCCGAGTGCGATAGCCAAGTTGACAACATGACAGCGCTAGACGAGTGGAGGAGTGGGGATCCGAACACATGTTTCGCGGAATACATGACAAAGTTGTTCTCTTGAGCCATCAAGACGAGGTGATGTCATGGTCCTCAACTGCGACAACGAGGTCATCCTCAAGGCCGTCCCTCTGAGGAAATCGCCATGTGCCTTGTGAAAGATCACACTTATATCCCAGTTCCAGAGATCGTCCTTGCCACCTATGTTGGCGACGAAGGCCGACTGGCGATGAGTGCCATTCCGGTGCGCCGCTGACAGAAGCTTGGGATAGTCTGAAAGATACAACAAAGAAGCGCGCATGTGTGTGTAAGGATTGGCAGAAATTGGTGGATATGAGAAGCCCCGAAGAAATATGACCTGAGTGGTATTATAGCAGCAAGGCATGTCTTTGTTTTAGCATGCTCTATTCAGTTGGAATTGACAGCCTTACTTCGACCTTTGAGTTCACGACGACATTACACACTCCTCTTCGGACGTCTTTTGGTCGGTTTCTATGGTAGTCATATCAGCTGCTTGAGATATTACCCAATTTGCTCTTCTCATCTGTCTTTCTTGAACAGACTGTTGTTGCAACCAAGAGTGCCATCCTTGTCCAACGCCATCACTCAGGCTAGTAGCCATAAGATCTGGCCTGGCCCGGAAATTCCATATTCCCCATTTAGCACTTCATGCACTTCATGTGTTAGGCATGGGATACCTGCTGCGTCCCCCGCGATTCGAGAGCGGCAGTGATTAACTGGCTCGGGGAGCCAGGCAGATTTTCAGCACCCCCTTTTTTTTTTCCCTGGAGTAGTGTGACGGAGCAGGATTCAATTGATATCCATCCCATTCACAGATGGCGTCAATTGACGCTTGCCATTATTGGGGGTTTTTATGATGGCCCTGGCGCCACCGCAGTCTGGATGCATTACCATTTTTAGTCAGTCAAAGTTGGTAGGTTTTCAGCGCTTGAGAACATGCTACTCTGAATCACCGTGACCGTGATGTCGGGTGGCAAGCATCCGAGGGCGTGCCCGTGGCAAGAGCAGCTTCCTCGAGCAGGACAAATACGATTATCTAGCTACGGGCCCAAAAGAACTCAGTCACCACGAGCACTAAGCTAGCAGTAGAGGGACGAGCGATCCAATGAATCCTTGGAACGATATAGAATATATGTCTGTTCAGCGTACGTCCCCCCGGTTACCTAATTACTTTGATCACCGGCATAGATAAATGAAAGGTATCATTCTTTAAAAAAAAAAAAAAAAAAAAAAAAAAAAAAAAAAAAAAAAAAATTAAGATCAGTGATTGTAAAAATTTTGTTCAAATTATAAATTTATATTGTAAGAATATGATATTCTATATTTAATATATTGTTCAATTCGACAGCTTACTACGCCTAATTAAGCACCTCGGACCCAGGACCCAGTAGGAACTAGTTAAATGCACATCACATCACATTCTCAAAAATCAAAGATATACCTATACTATGCACACAATCAGAATGACAGCCAGTGCGGAGATAGTCCCTGACAATGGAATGCTTATCAATTGACGTTGCGCGCAACCGTATCGTGACGATGGAGAGCTACGCAGGGACAAACCCCATTGCTCTAATCGACCCAGCGGCTTTTGTACGTAAAATTTGAGACGGAGAGGTTGTAGATATCGTGTGGATTTCTGCCATTAAAATACGCGGGAGCCGAAGAGCTTAACCCTGGCGATAGGTACTGACCGAGTGTCGCACCCCGAGCTGTCGGTGTGGGGAATATATAGACGGATGATATCGCGTCAGTTGTTTGGTTTCCCCCCCCCACGGATAAAGGGACATACACGGCTGAACCTACTTCCGTTTGCAGCAAGACAAAAATGTTGCCAGCAGGATCCCTTCCATGCGCTTGCAGCTCACCTGCGAGGAATCAGCGTGCGGAGCCGCAAACCTGTCAAAAGCTAAGCGGAAAATTAGTAATGTAGAAATTTAATGAGGGGACAGGGGCCCAATGTGAAGGACGTAGGTAGCTCACATGTTCCAGCCTGTACTTTAAAATCATCCATTTCTGCAGCTACCAGAAACCGTGTAGTTGCCCATACGGTACAGCTCTCTGACGGCCCAATCATGGTGACACTCGTGAACTCGGTTGGGCTTGACGTGGGCAGTCAAAACGCCGGTCACTGAATTTGTACGAAATCCTGAAACACTTGATATCAGGCATCTCAGAAAATTCCTATGGGAATTAGTTGCCAGTGACTTACTGAGGAAGAGCGCTTTCAATATCGGGATCCTTTGAAAATGAAGTGGCAATTTGGAGTCCAGCAGAAAAAGGGGGATATTCGGAAAAGCCAAGTCCGTATTGTCCTGAGTTTCTAAGATTTTGTTTCGGATTCTGCTGAACGATTGGGTGATTGGTGTTAGCCATGGTTAGTGGAAAGTGAGAAATAGAGTCGAATTAGCAATACATTGGATGGAGAGAGTGGAGCACAGCATAGAAAGAGTTCCAGAGGAAGTTCCTATGTCAATATCATTATTGTTTAATGGAGTTGGGTTGCTAACAAGGCCTCGAAACAGCTACATGCAATAATTCGAAGTTGAAGCAAGAATAGCTATCCAAGGTGGTGACCTTAACTTAACAGACTCCCGCTGCTCATTTCCAACTAGGGATGGAGCATTGACCTTCCTGTTATGGACTAGCAGCCCGCACGTAGCATATGTAGGATATTCTTTGTGTAGATAGAAGGCAACCAACAGAGCCAAAAGCTGAGCGGGGCTCGGATTCTTCTTGATGAAATTTCGAGTCCCCAGCAAACTCCATTAAAAGTACATACACCACTTGCATTGTCTCGTGTTTCTCTCTCTAGCTGTATCCGCATATCGTGTGTCCAGGATGAAAGGAAAAAGATAATGCCAAAAATGAAAAAAAAGAAAACAAAAAACAAAAGAAGTTGAAATTGTTTACAGATCTGATGTAAAAGTCTGAAAAAATGGCGTCAGTTAGTGGGAGAGAAGATATTCAAAAAAGAGATGTTTTTTCTTTCTCTCCCGTCCATGAAGATACTTCTTTGGATCAAAAAATTTCTCATGACTCGTGTCGTCGTGAATCTGGTGTACATGCGCGAACGGACTAAAAAAAAAAAAAAAAAAAAGGCAAATAAATAAATAAAAAAAGGGGGGAAGGAAGACAAAACTGAAGAAGACTAAGTAACAGATCTGGTCTGCAGGTTGTAGTGTAGACCTGGGGTGTGGCATAACCTTCAAGTAAAAAATGGGTATCCCTGTATTGGAAAGGCACTTAACCCGTTCGTTGCTTGTTGCGGAATGGGACTGTAGATGGTGGGCGTATTGTCGTCATTGCCGTTGCAGTTGCCGTTGGCAGGTGGAGCTTTGACAGCATTGCCATTGACATTGGTTGCAGAAGACGCGGCGGAGGATGAGTTGCTGGTGCTTACCAGCACATTGTTAACTATACTATCACCGACATTACTAAATTGCTGTTGTGGATATTGTGTAATGATGGAAGTTGAAAAGGGATGAATCTGGTGATACACGTTCGTCATATCGTTAGGCGTAATTTGGCCGCTGGAGCCCCCGCTCACGCGGCCTTGGTTCTCCACACTCAGGATTTTTCCGGCAATGCGGCGCCCGTGTGGCGTCTGGCGAATTGCTGGGAGGATCGGGCGGATAGCTTCGACCAATTTCGTGCGGTATTCGGGATCAGCAAAATCCATGGCAGTTTGAACGACGTAGTTCGCAAAGGAGTCACGGAGCATTTTCTCGAGTTCACTGGGGACCAACATCTCATCCACCAAAGCGGAACGTGATTGTGGGTCAGCTGTTCTAATGCACTTCTCAATCACGTTCGAGCTGAATTTTTGTTTGGATAAGGCAGAGATGTTCCCGCGAAAGCTGCGACAGATGGGCTCAATAAAATGAGGCTCGTTGAGATCCACTATAATTAAGTTGAAAGAAAATTAGCCTTGGCCTGTTATGCAGGTAGTGGAATCCCTTACAGATATACTGAACCACGTAATTTCCAAACGGATCTTGAACCAAGGTGAATGCGTTATTGGTGATCTGTTCGATTAAGCGAGCCCGCTGGTCACCAGAAGCGTGGTCAATACAACGCTGCAACACGCAACAACCATGGCGATGGGTTCCGACTGGCACGCAGCTTGCTCCAACGGCATCATAGATAAACTAAAAAGGGTGTCAGTAGGCTGGGAAATAAAATTAATTTGACGATGATTTGGAATACCTGAGCATCCGTCGCAGAGAGGCGATTTAAGCACTTTTGGATAACATGGTTTCCGTTCAAATCTTGCACAAGCTCCACTACTCGATCACGTAACGCGTTGATCACGGTTTGAGTCTATAGCGCTGTCAGTAACAGATAATACCAGATACACTCAACAGCTTAAACTGTACCTGTTCCGGGGTGGAGATGAATTCAATCATCTTCTGCAAAGCTCGAGTCCCATGTTGGTTCAGTGCGATCTTAACAAGTTGAGGAGCAGCGTTGTTGATGAGTGCAGTACGCTGTTCATCGTTCGAGAATTCAAGCAACTTCTGGCAGAGGTAGTTTCCGAACGGATCTAAAGAACAACACAATAGGACATGTTAGAAACGCGATTACTGCAATTTTAGTAAGAACGCAAAAAACAAACCGGTCATAAGTTCTACAACATGGATATGTGTCTCCAAAAATATCATCTGCACATGTGCTGGATTTTGCTCCTCCAACTTCTTCTGCAAATAGCGGCATCCGTACTGGTCCTTACACATGCCATATAACTCGCCTTGGTAGGTTTCCAATGGAGCGTTACCAAACCGCGAAAATTGGCTAGATTCGCCTTCTCCGCTGCGACGACCCTGACCCGGGTTTCTTGCAGGGCTTTCTGGGAAACGAGAGTAAGGTGAAAAGGGAGCAGGGTTGATATAGGCACCGTAGGGCGGGTTTGGGTGGAACGCTTGAGTGTGTCCATTGGTTTGGATGGGGCTAGTGATGAACGGCTGCATGGCATATCCATAAACAGGACTTTGGAAAGCGCCAATAGTGGTGCCATTTGGCATCCCATTGCTTGTGGATGTCAATTGAGGTCCAAAAGGGGTGGCATTAGCCTGCAAAACTGACTGAAGTGGTTGGAGATTAAAGGACTGGTCATCACGATCAGGGGACAATGGGGATGTTGGAGTGTCATTTCCATGGGCGTGAGGAGTAGCCGGAACTCGACCAACACTAGCACTATGAGAATGGAAATGGTCTGCATGGGACTTTGGTGGAGTTACTGCGGTATAGCCATTACTCTTGGTGGGGATATCATTAGTAGAATATGACATTTGGAGGGAAGTTGGCCGCGACTGGGATCCATTGGTAGTGGAATAGAGACCTTTGGTGCTGTTATACGTTGAAAACCCAGGTTCAAGTGAATGCCTGTGAGATTGGCGAGTGTCACTTGCAGGTGAGAATGGGGCTGAAATTTGCTCGCCCTGTGAGCGACTGCTCCCGATATGCTGAGACATGTTTAATGAATTGTGAGGGAGTGAGGCGTGATGACGATGACCATATGTCTCCGGCCCTGGCGTACGTGAGTTGGCTAGGTCCAACGCAGCGGAATTGGCGGATAGCTAGAAAAGCAAACAAGGTTAGTTGATATCAGCCTAGGGGGAAATAAAGGCTGCAAAAACTTCACATACTAAGCCGGAATTATCATCTCGACGAATCAGGGTGGGGAATTTGTCGTCAGGATCCGTTAATTTGAGATAACTCTTCAGGTCCGGAGTTGGCATACGATCTTCGTCCTTTAAGCCCCTCCTATCTTCGTCGTCATCATCCCCGAAAGCAAACTTGGCAGGATGGAATGGATTGAGTCCAATGGACCTAGTAAAGCCGTTGGCTGTGGCTGCAGTTGTGGTAAAATTGGCCTGAGAGCCAAAACTGGATGTGGGCATGGAGTATCTGTTAATGCTACAGAATAACGGTAAGTGAATGACCCAAGGTGCTGCAGAGATACGAATGTGAGGTGGAACAGCTGCGTTAGAGGGGATTAAGATATGGGGTCAACAGGGCAAGCAAAAACAGAATTGGCACATTCTTGGATCGAGGTTTTTGGGAAGCTATAGAAAATTAATCGACGCAAGCAAAATTATAGAAATACATACGAGGCACTCTGACGCAAAGAGGGGAATGGTTCTGGAAGATATTCCTCCTCAGAGTTCCGGCGAGAACCCAGAAGAGACTGCGGAGCAGATGCCTGGCTTGGAGTGGTGGCTATAGTTGATTTCGCGTGGCCAGTTGGTGATACGACCTGTGAAGGGCCGAAGAGGTTGAACACTCCAGGTGCAGTTGCACTCGATGTTGAAAAACGAGTTGGGCGAGAGAAGGCGGTGGGGAAACCGTTATCTTTATATTCTGGTGGGGTTGTAGGTTCACTGACGGCACCAGCCAAGCTCGAGCTAGCATTGACAAGATCTCTAGCCATCTGGTCCAGTTCCTGGCGCTCTTTCTCCTGCTGGAGATCTAACAGTTTCATATCAGCCTCGAAACGTTTTCTTTGTTCTCTCATGTATTCGATATGTGCTTTCTTCTTTTCGAACTATAAAGATTGTCAGATAACGAGTACTAGATGGACAGAATGTAAAATATTGGGGAGAATTGACAAGACTCCTGAGGAACAACAAAAGAAATGAACAAAGACAGGTTAGGCATGAAAGTGGAAGAGAAGGAGGATAGGATCGACGTGGTGTTGGGAGGAAAGAAGGGCATGAAGTGAGGTAGATGAAAAGTTGTACGTGTAGAGAAGTGAGAAGGGAGAAGAGAGAAGAAACTAAGGGGCGAAAGCGGTGAAAAGGGGGGCTCACCAACTGCGACTTGTGAATCTGCGTTGCCTGTGACGAGAGGAACAACAAGTCAGTCAGTAAGTCATATTTTGATGACATAGCTCAACAGAATTTTTCAGATACGAAACTGAGGAAAGAAGCCATCAAATCCCGCAGCACGATCCACTATCACTACTGTACAGACTCCATTCACTTCATGACCTCCCCTCCGCCCAACGACCTGAGAATGCTCAACCAACCAACTACCAGCTGTCCCGCTCTCCCCAACCCCTCATCTCCCCATCAATTGCCCCCAACCAAACAACAGATGTGGAACAATGATAATAACGGCGGCAACGACACAACAACACAGCAACTCAACTCACCGAGGAGAGGAAGTCCAGAGACTCCGGCAAAGGCAGCGGCTGAGCACTGTTGAAGGCGGGCCATGAGGAAAGTTTGCTGGCGTCTGTGGTGAAGCGACGTTGGAGGTTTGCACGCACATCGGAAGGTGGTTGGAAGGTGGAGATATAGCTGGCGGTCTGAACTCTGGTGGGCGAGGGGTAGCTGGAGAAAGGCGAGTCGGAGGGCGGGGAGCGAGGGGAGGAGAAGCGGAGCTCTTCGAGACCCTAGTAATCTGCAGACCGTTCTTGAAGCCCATTGTATAGAATGGGTATGTGGTTATGTGGGTGG